TTTCACCATGTTGACCAGGATGGTCTCGATCTCTTGACCTCGTGATCCACCCGCCTCGGCCTCCCAAAGTGCTGGGATTACAGGCTTGAGCCACCGCGCCCGGCAAGTTTTGAATCTTTTATGGAAACAACTCACTTTGTTGCCCTGGTCTCAAACTCCTGGCTTTCAGCAATTCTCCTGCTGCAGCCTCCCAGTGTTGGAATTACATGCATGGATCATCCTGCCCAACCCCAGCTAGTTTTGCTTTTTTTTTTTTTGAGATGGAGTTTCACTCTTGCTGCCCAGGCTGAAGTGCAATGGCGTGATCTCGGCTCACCACAATCTCTGCCTCAGCCTCCTAAGTAGCTGGGATTACAGACATGCGCCACCAGGCCCGGCTAAAATTTTGTATTTTTAGTAGAGGTTTCTCCATGTTGGTCAGGCTGATCTCGAACTCCCGACCTCTGGTGATGTGCCCAACTCTGCCTCCCAGTGTTGGGACTACAGGTGTGAGCCACTGTACCCGGTCAATTTTTACTTTTGTATAGAGGGGATTTCCAGCCATCCTCCTCCCTTAGCCTCCCAAAGTGCTGTAATTACAGGTGTAAGCCAGCCTCTACGGGGGCATTTTAATTCCTCAGTTCCCCCACGCCCCTGCCTGCAGGCAATATGCTCAGAGGGAAAACGCACTGCAGAAGGGGCCACTGCAAGTGCCTCAAATTCCTCAGGTAAGATGGGGTTGAACAGTGAGGTGAGCTAGGTCTCTGGTCAGGTTAACACTAACCAGGGGAAAGGGCTGGGACTGGGAAAAATGATGTGGCTGAAGGCACTGCCTACTTGTGACATCTTGAGAAAAAAATATATATATACTAATTTTCTCATGAAGTTTCTCCATATGGAATAGTACTGAGGACTAGCTTGTAACCTTGGTAACACTTCTGAGACTGAAACTAACAATGGCTATTTTCTTTTTTCAGACAGACCCTGTCAAGGGTGAGCTGCAGCCTCGACCTCCCAGGCTGATTTGCTTACCTCGGCCTCCTGAGTAGCTGGGACAACAGCCATACACCACCATGCCCAGCCATTAAAAAAATTTTTTTTGGCAGGACATGGTGGCTCATGCCTATAATCCTAGCACTTTGGGAGGCTGTGGGCAGATTGCCTGACCTCAGGAGTTTGAAAGCAGCCTGGCTAACACGCTGAAACCCCATCTTTACTAAAACACAAAAAATTAGCTGGGGTGGCAGTGTTTGCCTGTAGTCCCAGTTACTTGGGAGGCTGAGGCAGGAGAATTGCTTGAACCCAAGAGGCGGAGGTTGCAGTGAGCTGAGATTGCGCCACTGTACTTCAGCTCGGGCAACTAAGACTCTGCCTCAAAAAAAAA